ATAAATAAAAATAAATTCTACATTGTAATAAATTATAATTTTTCTAATTTCCGTCTTAAGGAAAGTTGCCTCCACATAGTAATAATTATCTATATATTGCAAAAAAAAAAAATATATGGTATGTTACGTTAAAGGTTTAAAATGAAATAAAATATTTATTTGAAGTTGTTTGGGACAATAATTTATGCTTTAGAGTTGTTATTACATTTTTTAACTTGCGGGTACATTACCTAGCATGAACATTTTCTTGTTAAAGCTAAAATATTTTTAGTTTTCAAGCATGTTTAGAGCTTCTTGACATGAAATTTTTTGTATTTCCATACTTTATCCTCATAATTATTTCATTTCTCTTCTTGTTTAATTATAAAAATGATTTCTTCTTTTGTTAAAGCATATATGACTTGTTACTTATTTGGATGATTAAGGAAGATATTAATAGTCATTCGATTAGTGTAGTGAAGTTATCGAATCTGATCACTCAATTTTACAATGAATCTTTGATTCTTCTCATCCACTTCATTTGTAACTTGCAATTCATCGACATTGGGGGTTCTAATTTTGTAATGCTTAAAACAATTAACAATTGTCTATGACTTTACATCAGTTGTCATGCAGCAATTGTATTTATAATTCTATCAAAGATAATTATCTTTGTTGGTTTCAAAACACGATCTTCTATTCATTTCAAAAGTAGACAATTAAAGCGCTGAATTAAAACCTTAATATTATTAAAACATGAATTGAAATTATAATATTGTACGATTAAAACATGAATTTTGAAATAATAAATTTTTTTAACTACATTTCTATTAAGTTATAACTTTCTTATAATAATAAAATTAGTTAGTTCCACCATTATGACTATAGAGAGGTTACCTGTATATACACAAGTCTTGGATTCAATGAGACAGCTTCTTGAGCTGTTTTAGGAATGATAGCCATTACACAATTACCAAATACATCAATTTATTTGACCCTACTTCTAAAGAACGCCTCATGATAAGAACTTTTAAAATTATTATAATATCTAAAGAAGATGCCGCATGTATTTCCAAATCAATTTTATTTATTTATTTATTAAAATGTTAATAACTTATATCATACTTTATTAATCTTTATTTTCTGTGGATTTATATAACAATCTCTTAATATTTTGTTTTAAAAAATCCTATTTTCAGATCAAATTACAATATAACTGTAAAAAATCTACTAATAATATATTTGTTCATTCAACACCATAGAAGTAATTTTGAAAACTTTTAACATACTGGATGCATAAGTTATTCATCAAAAAATACATTAATTTTCTTTCTTAGCACAATAAAAAAGAAAAAGAAATTTTAAATAACGTAGAATAAAAATTAGAGTTAAAAGATCGTAATAATTCTATATCTTTGTCTTATCTAATAATTTTTAGGGAGACTAAATTATAATTAAAAAGAAAGAAGAATAATAAAAGGATAGAGCAATGGAATCACCCTTTTGAAAATCTATAGGGTGTGTTTGTTTTTCAGGATTGCGTTCTATTGCATTGCATTAAGTCATTAAACAGTAGCTCTACGTTGTTTTTTCACTTTCAGTCAAGTGTTTGGCTGCAAATTTATGCAGTACTAGTTTAAGAAATATAGTCCCCTACCCACCCTTGGGTTTACTCAAGACTGTTTATTTAGAAATATTTTCATTCACTTTTTTTTTTTTTTTTTTTTTTTTTAACAATAACCTATTTTCATTGAATAATAATTTAATATTAGATTTAAATATTTAATATAATATTTTTTTTTTAATTTTCAAACTTTTTAGTTAAAATATTGGATATTATTTTTTTAAGTTTTTAAAAAATATTTCAATAATTTATTTTTTACATAATTATATTTTTTATTTAAATAAGTTATATATTTATTCAATATCACGCCAAACACATGACAGTTTAAATTTAATCAATTCTAGAGGTGGAACAAATGGGTCGGGCTTGACCCGCCCCTGCATTAAAGAGGGTTCAACCCATACCGCATATAAGGCGCATGCAACCCTTGGGCGGGCCGGGTTGTTATATGGCAACCCGACGACCCGGCAGGTTGCTTTTTTAATTTTTTAAAAGAACCCGACGGGTTGTTAATGTGGAAAGTGTGTGCAAATTCCTAGCAGCGCATGAGAGAATCTCTTTGAGAAATTGTCTGATAAAGTGACCAGAAAGTGCATGAATTCAAAAAGACTCACATGTGACATACTGACATGTTATCAAGCTTAATGAGATACAACCTCTTAAATCAATGACATTTTGACACGTAACCAACATGATAACATGTCACATAAAAAATTCATGCCTCATTGGTTAAAAAGTGTCTTAAATCTTTGCCTTTTAAAATTTTTTAAATAAATAAACTACCATAAAAGGAAAAAAGTAATTATTGTTATTAAATGAATAAAGCAAATGAAATTAATTATCACATATAATAACTAAATGACAATTAAAACTAGATAAATATAATTATGGAGTGGAAATAAATGGTTGTCATTAAAATTTATTACAGAATCTGCATCTATGAAAAAGTTTTTGTAGATAATTCAGGGAAATTCTTTGATTGATAAAAAAATGAGGTTGAGTTTGATTTATGATTTAAAAATAAATTTCAAAATCTAAAATATTTTTCAATTTTTTAGTTTTATTAGAATATTTTTGGTATTTGAAAACGTGGTTGATATTATATTTACAAAATGTTTTCACATTAAAAAATTATAGTAAACTTTAAACACAGCTTTTAATATTAAAAGATAAAAATGTATAAAAATTTAAAAAAGGGGGGGGGGGGGGGGGGGGGGGGGGGGGGGGGGGCGCCGTAGCCTAACCCGACAGGTTAGGGTTGGCGGGCCGGACTGGGCTAGCCAACTCTAATAGGTGGCAGGTCGGGTTTGTTGGCGGGTCAGGCCAGGCCAGACGGGTTACTGTTCCAACATTAATCAATTCTAATACTTTCTAACTTACTCCAATCTAATCCAGTGTCATGTACCAAACACACCCATAATGGTATATTTGGTAATTTAGATTTTTAAATTGTTGTAATACATATAATGACAAAACGGTTATAATTTATTCTTCAAAATATTTTTATAATTACAAATTTTATTTTGTCAGCATTTTAATAAATATTAAAAAAAATTACGTTAAAAAAAGTTCGCTTAATTAATTATTTAAAAAAAATTAAACTAACATAAATGTCATTAGCAATGGATAGACTTTCGTTCGCAATCGGCACACGTCGGTGTTGTAGCTGAAAGTTATTGAGGATCATGTGTAATTGGGTTTTTTAACATTTGTAAGTAGACCTAACAAACGGGCGAGCCGGGCAGGTATGGGCTTGGTAACTGCAGGTAAAACAAGTACGGGCAGACAAGTAAAAAAAATTCAGTTTTTGCGATGGACATGCGGGTCACCTGCAAAAACTGAATTTTTTTTACTTTTTTCTTTTCAAATTTTTGTTATTCAATTTTCAAACATTAAAATGTATATTGTATTAATTTGAAAACTTGGCATAAAATTCCTTTATGAGTAGATATTAACATCAACTTGGCCACGGTTAGATATTAAACAGTTACGTAGATTATGTATACAGTAGATTCTACAGCGTACTTACCAAAACAAAATGTGTCCATTTCTAAATTTTTAGAATGCCATTGACACTTTCCCTATAACTATAAGCAGTTTACATTGGATACCCTGTTAGAGTTAGAAATATGATGCTAGTGAGTTACTGAAAGATTGGTGAATATTATAGACATGAAAATCACTACTAGAAAAACTCCCTTTCTTGACGGTAATAACTGTCAAAAAGAGCGTTTCTTGACAGTTTTTCACCCAAAAATTGTGGTAATCGTGTTTTAACTATCAAGAATTTATTAACAGATTCTTGATAGTTATAACCCGTCAAAGATTTAACCAATTCTTAACCCTCTTCGAATTGTCCAAAGTTTTTAACAACAAAAAAAAAAAAAAAAAAATTAAATTGAATAAAAATAATCAAATTTTATTAATAATAATTTTTCATCTTTTATAGTCTTGAAACTGTCAAGGATTTTTTTTAAATATTTTTATTTTGTAATTAGTTTTATTTTCCTGATTATTACCCATTAAATAATGGAATAATGCAATGAAATTCTTCATAATATTCATCAACCAACAACGATTATCACAATTCAACAATAAAATTAAACATTCAACAATCTTTCAATTAATTTAGTAAACGAAATTGAACAATAGTATATAAAGCTTCATTCATTTTATAATTTTATTTGTAGTCATTCCTCAGAAGCTAGATATGCATTAAAACAGCTACTTCTTTACTTGTAAATTTTTTAAAGAAATACAACCCGGGAAACTGGAGGATTATCATCAATAAATGGGGCTGCAAGACTAATAAATGAAGCCTCCCCTACACCAACCAGCCTGGAGAGACAACAAAGATATAATACTAGTTAATTTGTTGAATTAAATAAATCAATAATAAAATTGAAGGAAGATAAGGGCATAAGTCACCAACTTACATGCAGCAGATTGTAATGGACCAGAAATCCCTTGAAAAACCACAACCTACTACAGCTACGGTCCAAACTGACAATCCAACTCCAATAAGCCTAAATGGATTAAGACTGCAAAAATTCACAAGTATATTAGGACTCATGCCAAAGTAAATGCACTATATTGAATCAGAAATCAAGTTCTGGAGAATAGTACAAAAGCAAGGGACAAGGGCCAAACTATTCTTTTATTTCAATCCTGCTCTGTTAACATGGCAAAAACATAGTTCCTAAAAATAGATATTTTCTTAATGACTATGCCAAAGCCCAGAGAAGCACTTTTAACTTTACAACTCATCAAAAGCTACTAAACTTATCCACAGATAGGCACTTCTGAAATATATAATACCTCTAAATGCATAAAAAGTAGAATCTGGAAACATATGTATGGGATTTTCATATTACTGTCAGAGTATATACATAATCATTCCAACACTCATATAGACACAAAAAGATAACTCCAATCATCAAACATTGCTATAAAGACCGCTAAATTTTGCCCAAAATTTATAAACAAATCCCACCAACCTAGGGCAGCAACATCACCTGCATGTGGTTAATGAAAAAAGTTAGGGAGAGAAAGATAATTCACCGTAAGGATAAGCTTCACATAAGTCTACCAGTAGTCCAATACCAAATGATATCGCGAAAAAAATATGTTAGCCAAATAAATACATGCACTTAAAAAGAGTTACTAAGATAAAATTTAAAGAACAAGATGTTAGTGCGAATAGAAACTTTGCAAGCATATGAACAATCAGATTTCATATGACATGTTATTAGGCAGGTAAATGCCTTAAAATTGAGTTTTTCGTTTAAAAAATTAATTATCAGCCTGCCTCATCCCTGGTTAGAACAAAACTAACATTGACGATCATGAATTAAATGGAAATATAAATAGAGGGGGGCTGCAAATTTTGGGGAGAACAAGTAACTTAAAGAAGATAAAAGATTGACATAAATAAAATAGACATTGATAGGAAGTAATAATAACACAAGAGGTATCAGTCAACCTCAAACAAAGAATAAATTGATTGCTGGGCAAACACAAGCTTCACACAATCTAGCCATTAGAAAAACAACTAAATAGATATTCAAAAACTAACAACTATAAATGGCAAAGCTTACAGATTCATTAGACTGGCCCACTGGAACAATTTCAGACAGGAATTCTTGAGCAGCCTCCACCAGATTGAAAATCATAACCCGTCCTTCTCGGGCATTAGAATTTGCGGATAACAAAAGAGCAATTACAAAATAGGAAACTTTTGTAAATGCAGCCTGTGAAAAGTGACAGCTCACACGGTTTGGTCAATCAAACCCCTTAAACTATAAGAGTGCATCATATATCTACAAATGAATAGAAAATTAAATTATAAGAGGGCATCATATATCTACTTATCTAGAAATGAATAGAAAATTACTACCCTCTGCCTGGCCAAAGCGTCCCAGTTGATATCTTTGAAGAAGATAAGCTGCTTCACCTGTATGATAAGATTTCTCTTCCATTATTTCAGTTTCTAAGAAAAGTAGCAAACATGAATTACAAGATAATGAACAAAGAAGCACAAAAACTTTAACTAAGAACCGCAATCACCTCTGATGCTCCTCCAGCTCCAAGTCTCTGATGTGGATCTTTCGTCAATAATCTGTAAAATTGACACTTAAATAACCATAAGATACTTCAGAAAGCTTTATCACATTCATAGAACCAGCAGTCTATCTTAGCCATGTAAACATTACACCCAAACACTAACTCTTATTCAAAGAAAAGGCACGTTGTACAAAGTTAGCAAGTAATAAAACGAATTTGAGACATAGCATGTTATAGGCAAGAAATCATCAATCTTAAAAATTCCCTAATATACATTTTCATGAGCCTACATTTTTAACAGTCAATTGCATACTAACACACGATTTAACTGAGAAATTTCTATTAAGAAAAAAGAAGATTCTCATGTTTTCCAATGTTAGCCTCCATAGAATCTTTATTAGATAAATTAATGAACAAAAAAAAAAAAAATTAGGAGAGATATAGGCAAATAATAGGCTACTAAGCACAAAAGGTGCACAACCCAATATCATACAAAGGAATTAATAAAAACTTCGAAACAAGAGTTGATTATCAAACTTAGGCAGGTCACTTTGAAATTTCAATTTAGCATCAACAAACGAACAAAATACTAGCTGATAAATTTTCAATGATTGAGTTTTTCTGGACAAGGGCCACATTAAGGTCACTCATATCTAATATAATTATAAACAATAATTGGTCAGATGATACAGCAGTCCTTCTTACACATATGATACCTTGATGGTATGTATTTCAACACAAATGTCTGAAAGCAATACTTAGTAACCAATGATTTTCTTACTGATCAATAAGATCTTGTGCTTCAGCGCTCATTTCATCGGGTACGGTAGGCCAGGGTATTTTACGATTCGGAATATTATCAAATATTTGCTGGAATCAAAACACAATAAGAATTGGGACAAACTGAGAACTGAATCAATGGGAAAAAAATGGAACTAAGATGTAAACTAATGTTTTAATCCTCTCAATAAATATACCCCGAGCACAATAAGTCCCTACCCATCGACTAAGGATTTTAAACATGTGGAATTCTTCGTCTAATAATACCACAAAAATAAGGACAAATAGAAAAATAAAGAAAGAAATATGTACCCCAAAAAAACATTAAAAAAAAATAAAACACTAAAAGGAAGATGCTGAGAAAATATAAATACATCAAAGAACCGGTAGAAAATAATTCAACACGACTTGAACTATAACAGTTGAGGAGCAATTAACCTGAGGATGCTCCGCATTGAAGGGTGGTATGCCGACAATTAGTTCAAATGGAATGACACCCACAGACCACCAATCCGCTGTTGTGCCTGAAATAATTTTATAACACAGAAACTCCTTAACATTATTTACAAGCAAGCATCACATGATGAAAAAAGCATCAGCTAATTAGATATATACTCAAAATGCAGTAGTCAGGTGCCACTATGGTCTTAAAATTGCAAGAAATTTCATTGTTCGTAGTAATGTAATAGCTAAATTGAAAATCATTTTAACCCATGATTAAATCATATGCAATATAACACCCAGTGAGGATTAAATCATATGTGCGAGTAACAGTGCAAGAATATTTCTTGGCATCCTTGGCCAGTGAACGAAGAAAAGCTTCACAAGCCAGCACTGGTTCCTATTTATATCATCCTGAAAAGGAAAGAAGTTGCAGAATTAAAAAAGGAAGTAAAAGAAAAAAAGTACGGCAAAAATTCACAGAAGAATTTCCGCAAACATGTGATAGGCAGAGAGGAGAAGCATGACAAAAGGATCATTGCTTTTAATATATTATTATATAAAGGACCACAAATCACAAAAATGGCAAAAGGCTATTAAAGAAAGGAATTCATCAAACTAAAGTATAACAAATACACATTAAAAAATCATACCATCAAGACATCAACAGTCAAATAATAAAAAAACAACATGATGCAGGAAGGCACATCAATAATCCAAATGAAAGAAACAAACACGAGGAAAAATTAGCAAATATGAAGAAAATCCCAACAAAAAAAACACTACGGTACAGTTCCGGTAACGTTACCAACCAGCCACCCTAAAAATGAAGTAAAAAAGCAAACCTCCTCTACAGGTGCTCAACCCAAAAAGCAAGATAATCCTGGACAAATCACACCCCAAGCCAGTCTTGTCAGGACAATTAACTGTAATAACAATGGAGTCACCCGGCTTCTCGGCTTGACTTATCACTACAACATCTTCACACAATATCCCCATTTCTTGAACTCTGTTTTTTCACCTTCATAAAAAGAAAAAGATATAAAACCTTATTGAAAACCCAGACGGGTATCTTGGCTTTCTCTTTCTTTTGTGGCGTTGATTCCTTCTTGTTGTTTAGTTGAATTGCAAGTTGGAAATTCCGTCGAAAGAAAAGTGAACAGAAACAAACATTTAGGGTCTGCTTGGAAGTTTTTCTTCCACTGGTTTTGGGAGGGTTTTTAATTAAACTGGTTTTGGGGTGATTAAAAGTCATTATTTGACAGATTTTTTATGAACTGGTTTTAACTGATTTAAAAACCTTCTAAAACCAGTGTA